CAAACAATGATTTTAACTATTTACCTATACAGCTCCATTATTGGGGAAATATTATGTGGTACAGTTTTCAAGTTGCAAATCCCTGTAGGTAGAATTTAGATAAATGGAGTACATTTTTCACTGCAAAATAATAACATTTTAGTGAAACATTTAAACTACAATTCTTATTAAAATTGTAATCAGTTGCCAGAATGATGTTGTGTAAATGGAACAGAATGCCCAGCCCTGATTCATTTAAATATGCCAGTTAATTTTTACAACAATCCAGTTAATCTGGATAAAATGCCATGCTGCTGGATGCACTCACTTCTGTGTCTCGAGTGGCTCCATTCAGCCACAAGAGACTCCAGGATGGATAAGCAGTGGGGGGGTCAAATTGCATTTGCTTGACAACCATTCACAAGCGGCTGGAATTGGGCTGTCAATCAGTGAGGGAGGTGGAGGAAAGGGGGAAGAGACAAAGGAGGGAACTGGAGAGGTCAAACCGCGATTGATTGACCGCTGAGCCCCTGGTGAGTGACTGGAGCCCATCTATTCACAAGCAGCTCCAAGGCTGTCAATAACCTCGGACCCATCGCTAATTGGTCCCCTTCCCATCCAATGGCAATGACGGGAGGAACAAAGCACTGCCTCCACCACTCCTCTGTGGGTGGGAAGAGGTAATGGAATTTTGGTTAATCTCGAATGCAGCTTAAGCCGCACAAAACAGTCATCTCCAATGTATAGGTTTAATCGGCTTCCACTATTATTCTGTGTTCAGAAACAAAACAGAACTCAAATAAATAAGGTGCATATTTCACTATTGACAACATAATTCAGTTTTGTAATTCAGGTGGGATTGTACTATAAACCTCATCCTCGATGATGAAGGAGATGTTCACAAGTCAAAAGGTGTAAAGTTTTAGACAATGTTTTTCTTCTCAATGAGATGTGATTGGAAGTTGATGCCCCGCCCCCTCCCCAATCTCTCATTCTGTTCAACCATCATTATAATAATAATAATCCTTGGATTTGATATAGTGCTTTTTCTCGTCGTTGAGATGACTCAAAGCGCTTCACAAAATATGCTGTAAAGTGAATTGACTGTATATTATGTGGGCAAAATGTGGCCGCGAATCGCATACAGCGGTGTCCCACAAACAGTGATTGATTGACTGACCAAATTACTATTTTTAAGGGAATATTACCCCTGGAAAAGCGATCCACAAATCAACTAACAACCGGGTTCCTACTTACTGATAGATAAACAGAGGCATGTGAAGCAAGGAAACTTGCCTAAGATTTCATCCTGCCCGGGAAACAAACCCAAGTCCTCTTGCTTGCAAGGCGAGGGCCTACACTACACTACACTACAGGATTCCAAATTATATATCGCTACATGAGAAAACCTTTTTTTTAACTTGGATTTCATTTTTGATAAAAATTAAACAAACATATTTGATCATCTGTCCTGTTAGTGCAGACTAATGAATGTGGCTGACTATTAATATTCAGAAATCAGTGTCTCCCAGGGGATGTGGCATGATGCCATCTATCAGAACTTAAGAGGTGCAGTAATTGCAACACACCTCATCTTGGGAGACTCACATTTGAACAGGATATTGGAAGATTTAGAACCACTTGTCTCTGCACTGCAGATTTATTCATAGAATTCTTTGGTCATTTCATTACAAATGAAAAGTCATTATACAATAAATAGCATATGTGCAAATATCAAATTAAAAATGAATATATTACTAAGCTATTAAATGCAATGAACTTGGTCCTTTGTTAATCTTTCACTAACTACTAACTGAGTGGCTTCCCTGAACAGCGGATGTATGTATATAGATCTGATTTGGTGGGTGTTTTTATTGCTCAGTTGCTATGGAAACCTGGGGACTGTAAATGAAGTAGGCGACAGCAGTGTCCTCCCGACGTGAAAGGCGCTATACAAATGTAATCTTGTTGTTGTTGTCAGTAAATCAAATGAATTCATGCTTACAGCTATTTAATTACAAAGAAAGTAAAAATGAGAACCAGTGTGTAGAAATGTATGTTTTGATATGGGTCACATACATGTCTGTGAATGCTAATATATGACAATTATTTGAAAAATAATCACTGTCCAATGAATGTGGTTTCCAACACATGGCAACACCACACATTTCAGCTGCCTATATCACAGTTTGAACAAGCTGTGCATTTAAAAAAGAGTTTCATGATTCATTTCGCCCACAAATATTCAGTCAATTCACTTTACAGTATATTCTGTGAAGCGCTTTGAGATGTCTAGAAGACGTGAAAAGTGCTATATCAAATGCAAGGATTATTTATTATTATTAATATTCTGTAATCAAAATAGAAATGGTGTAATGTAATGAAAATAAAAATTTTATTTGGGAGATTGTTGGCCAAGACATTGGGAGAAACTCCCTTCTCTTTTTGAATAGTGCCACTGGATCTTTAACACCCACCTGATCAGTGGGTTTAACATCTCATTTGGAGGACAGTACCTTCGACAATGCACTGCTGCACTGGAGTTTTAGCTTCAATAAAAAAAACTCAGTAAAAAAAAGACTGAGTGTTACATATATGTATGTTATCTAAACGGTATATTGAAATTTCCGTGTGTCTGAAATGGAAAGCACTCTCAGGAGGAACACATCCTGACAGCTTGAAAGTGAGTTGAAGAACACCACATTTGATTCAGAATCACAATCACTATATACAATTGTGATAATTATGTAAAAAAATGTACAGTACTTTATCACGTTCTTGTTTTGTATTATTATTTGTACTTCTTGAGTTAATCTTTGTAGTTTTATTTTAAATGTGTTCAAAACTTGATACTTATTTATTCTGTGAATTAATAAGCTACGAGCTTTTCTAATTGTTATAGGTGTGTACAGTGAGTCATCTCCAAGTCATTTATGAATAACACAAATTTTGAGATAGTGCCTAAGACTTTGAACTGGGAGTGCCACTGGCTGCTGAATGAACTCTTGAGTCAGTGTCTAAAATGGAATCTACCTAATACTAAACATTTCAAAAGAGATAAAAGCAAATGACTAACTCAGTACAAATGGCTGTTGTCTCATTTTTGTGCCCTGTCTTAAGTAGGTAAGTAAATAAAGCAATGAACATATTATTTGACAGGTTGTTGCCATATACACAAATAATGCTACACATGAAGAAGCCCATACAAACTTTCAATACTAAAATACCATCAAAAATGATTATAATAATCTGATGGACTTTATACCCAACATATCGATAAAGTTCAAGTGCACAGTTTATTTAGTCTGCATTTGGTAATGTTTTGGCACACGTATGCTGATCGATTTTGTTGTTCACTGAACAGCAAACAGGCATTCAATCAGGTGGCCCATCCCAAGAGTTGAGAGTGTTCTCAATAGAGAGGAAAATCGCTCGTTAAAGTCTAACTATTCTACAATGCAATTCATTTGAATGTCTTGTAATAATATGGGCAGAATTCTATTGTCATGAAATTATTGTTGAAACACTTAAATTGTTGAAACACTTAAATACAAAACATGAATTGATGTGAACTTAATAAAATTAATAATAATAATTCTTGCCTTTGGTATAACACCTTATCATGACTTTGAGACGTCTCAAAGCGCTTCACAGAATATACTGCAAAGTGACTTGACTATATTTTGTGGGCAAAACGCGGCAGCCAATTAACTTCAATTTAGGTCTAGAAAATATAAATACAAACTAAGGTGCTGAACTGGAAGTTAGAAGAATTCTTTCCAACAGGGTGGGACATATGTGGAATAAGTTCTCCATTAAAGTAATTATTTCCAGGTCAAATGACATATTTAAATGGGAACTAAATTAGTATTTATTGAGGAAGAGGTCTGAGGTGGTAGAGGTAGTAAGCAGATTTTTTTCTTTTTTTTGGCCAGCCAGGTGTCTGACACATTACCATGCATAAGAGTATCCAAACCAGAATATTCCAGCATGTATTCCAGCGACACAAGGAAATTCTGGGGTCTAGAATGGAATGTGCATTCTCTCCTTGGAGGGACCACGCTTCTGACCTCATTTCAAAGAGCATTTGTTGCAGGTTGGCAAGAGCAACTTTTTCTGATTACCATGAGAATGGTTGTTTAGGAATTCTGAGTTGGGCTGGTCATATATCCTGTAGCAAAGTAATGCCTCAAATTCATTTCCCAGGCAGGGAGAAACCTTAGGCAAGTTTTCTTACTATACACGACTCTATTTACCTAGCAGTAAGTAGGAAACCGGTTGTTTGGTGAACCACTTTCCTGGGTAAAAATTACTCCAAAAAAAATTACTTTTTTTTAAATAAAATAATTTGGTCACTCAATTCACAACTGTTTGTGGTAGACTGCTGTGTACAATTGGCTGCCATGTTTTGCCCACAAAATATAGTCAATTCATGTTATAGTATATTCTGTGAAGCGCTTTGAGATGTCTCAACAACGTGATAAGGCGCTATATCAATTGCAAGAATTATTACATGGAGTACAGATTTCAGGGATTCTTTTTCTTCCAGATTTTCTTATTTTATGCTCTAAGACTAGGTTCGTGAAATTGCAAAGCGATAGCCTGTTCTATTGTACTTCCTTAGCACTGAATTGCTGGATCTAGAGGACAATGCAATGAATAATAATGTAATTTTTTTTGAAGCTAAGGTCAAAACTTATTCGAACATGCCCTCATGGGTGGGCTATAACAATCAGAATATTTTTGTTTTGATTTAGTTAGAATGATTAATTTTAACTTCTAGTCAAATGTCTTTGAATTGTATGCATTTGCATTAATTTAATATCTTTGGATTAAGTTGTTAATCGCTGTATAGCCTTGATGGTTTAAAATATTGCATCATTACTTAGCTTTTGCCCCACCTTTTTTAAACATTCATAGTTTTAACAGGCGTAACACTGCAGCCTAACCAATTGTTGATAGAACTGGGAACCATGTGAGGGAGAACTTCTGAGAGGAAGTTGTTAATGCTTAACAGAATCAGTTGTGCTGAGGTTCACCGATAAAGGAATTATTTTGGACTCAAGAGCTTAGGCTCAAGAAAAGGTTTTGTGAAGCCAACATTTCTGGGCCAATCTTTGGACAACAAAACTCGATGTAATTCATCTCAGTATCAGGGGAAGCCAGCTGTGTACTGACTACGTTTGTATCTGAGTGCTTCTCTTTGTGTAAAAGTGACAGTATTTGTGAAGGTTAACTGTGGAAGCTCTCCAGAATTTGATGGACTACAGACAGCTACCATCTCAATCACAAGACTGAACAATGACTGAAGTTTCAACTCTTCTCTTTCTGTATTACCTACCTGAGCACTTTTAAAATTAATATTAATTGATCTGTGGTTCATTTTAAGAAATCATGACAGCCGACACCAAATGTAAGGACCATATAGATCATAAGGACGTGCTGGACTTTGAGGCGACCTACTCGGTCAAAATCGGTCTGACAATATTGTACAGCCTTATTCTTGTAGCTGGAATAATTGGAAATAGTTTAACTATAAAAGTTGTCTGTATTCTTCAAAATAAAGGGTACCTTCTGAAGAGCGTAACGGATCATATGATCAGCCTTTCCTGTTCAGATCTACTGGTTCTTATACTGGGAATGCCTGTGGAACTGTACAGTGTGATATGGGACCCATTCTCCTCATCTGGAAATATACACTGCAAAGTCTATAACTTCCTCTTTGAAGCCTGCAGCTATGCCACAATCCTGCATGTGGCTACCCTGAGCTTTGAACGTTACATTGCGATCTGCCACCCGTTCAAATACAAGTCCTTCTCTGGCTCTAGAACAGTGAAGCTTATGTGTTTCGTCTGGTTGACTTCGTTTTGTACAGCTTTGCCCCTCCTTTTTGCAATGGGGGCAGAAGATCCAATGGAGCCGTTTAAACGGTACAGCCATACTTTTCCTTCCTGCAACCGGGGGGCATCAAACAAGACCATTTGCACCAACCTCACCTCCAAATATACTGTGTTCCAGCTGAGTGTGTACAGCGCTTTCATCATGTACATCCTGATTCTGGCCTCAGTTACTTTTATGTGCAAAATGATGTCGAAGACCATGATTAGAATGTCGTCTGGAACCGTGAGTAGTAAAGCAAACCAGGGCAAGCATGAAATCCTTCCCAAACACGAGAGTGCAGAGAAGAAATCAGCAAGGAAACAAACCATTGTATTTTTAGGTAAGAGTTCCATTAATTAATGTCAGTATACTGGATGTTGTTAAGCAGTGTTCACAACTTTTAAAGCAAATCTCAATTACTATTATTATTAAAGATAACATTAACGTTTTAGAATTTTCCATGAAAATTCCCAAATTTCGAAATTCAGCATCTTCAGAATGTCGAGTGACTGAGACAAGTGACGGTTCCATTCAGATCTCACCATCTTTTCTTTGAAATAAACTCACTGAAATCTGCACTCACCAGAAGATATGATTCAGCATTCTGCAGGCAGGTGTCTGCTGCAGATGTCTGCCCACCCGGCTTCACTGGCTACCCATCCCCCAGAATATCGAGTTTAGATTCTTGTCTTCTCTTTTAAAACCCTCCATGGTCTTGCTTCTCCCTATCTCTTCGACCTACTAAAATCATACCAACCTGCCCACTCCCTCCAGCTGGAGGCCACAGCTCCATTTCCCCCGCCCTGCCTGCCCCACCATCTGTGGTCAAGCCTTCAGTCTTTCTGCCCCCACCATCTGGAACTCCATCCCGGAGTCCCTTTGCCTTACCCACTCCTTCAAGGTTGATTCCAACTCCCAGCTCGGGTGCAAACCCTTGACTTTCCAGAACCTTGGGATGTCCACCTCACGTGAAAGGTGTTATAAGTGCAATTTATTGTTGTTATTGCAATAGTTCTAGTCTTCCTTTTTCCTCTTTTTTCCTCCACATTCTCCCCAACTCATTTTATTCATTATTCTGCCATCTCCCCCAAATATACTCTATGCAAATAATGCTACTTATGGTGACGAGATCAAATTTGCCATTAGAAATGTCACTCAAACCCAGCAATCCTGCTAAAATTCATTCGTGTTGTTTTATTGTGCATTTCTCTGCCTCTTTCTTGAGTTACTATTCATTTTGCATGGAAAATGATTTCTAATTACAAAAACAACAACTTAAACCAGACATTAATGAATTGTTTTGCACAGTGCAGGTGATAATAATTTAGTTTAGTAAAAGTTAAAAGTTTAGTAATACTAATAATAATCCTTGCATTTGATATAGCGCCTTATCACTTCTTCGAGATGTCTCAAAGCGCTTCACAGAATATATTGTAAAGTGAATTAACTGTATATTTTGTGGGCGAAACCCGGCAGCCAATTGCGCACAGTAGTGTCCCACAAACAGTCGTGGATTAAGTGACCAAATTATTATTATTTATTTATTTTGAAGGGATTATTACCCCTGAAAAAGTAATCCCCCAATAAACTAACAAACAGATTGCTAATGTTTGCAAAATGACACCTCAATTCACTTAGTTGTTCAGCATTTAAAAGTTTAGATTACACAACTATTAAAATTAAAATACCCTGATTCTTATCAGGAATAGGTATGCATTTGTACTAGATCATTTCAAGTAATACATTTGAGACAGTTGATATCATAGAATCGTCTAGCACAAAACGAGGCCATTCGGCCCATCGAGTTTGTGCCAGCTCTTTGAATAGAACAATATAATGTCGATCCCAGGCAATGCGTTCCAGATTCGAACAACTCTTTGCATGAAAAAATGTCTTCTCACCTCCCCTCTGCTTCTTTTAGAGACTATTTTGAATCTGTGACCTCGAGTCACCGACACACCCACCAGTGTAAACAGTTTTTCCCTTTCTAACCTATCAAATCTCCTCATAAGTTTGAAGACCTCTATTAGGTCTCCTCGTAACCTTACACACTTGTATATAAATATATATGGAATTTGCGTTATAAATCAACATGACCAGTATGCATTAATCTTGATTGATGATATTACTCAATTGACCTCACTTCATTAATTTACTTACTAACATAAACTAATGACATCATTGCTCATCTTAAAACCATTTAATATAACAAATGTACTAAATAAATCACTTTAAAACATTTATTGAAAATTAATAATAATCTAGTAGTTGCATATAGGATCTTAAATTATAATGTAAGATTTTGAAATGTTACTGAACCATTTGATTAATAACACAAGCATAGAACATATGTTTATCTGTCTTATATATATTGGTTACATGAATAACAAGTCCGAATAGAAGATTAATTTTCATATCACAAATTGAGTTATTTTATTTTGTTTATAAGCAAGTGAATCAATTATTTCCCCATTTCAATTCGGCATTTGCATGTAATGCATGAATGCTTTGTTGTAGTAAATACACATTTTATGCAGTTGTCTCTCAGAAGACAGATCTATTATAACCATTCAACATCACATCAGGCTAGTCATCTGGAGATGATAATAGGAAGCTTTCCATTTATTGTTGCACGAAGAAAGGACCCAGGTAATGTGTTATTTACTCAGGAGGGGCCTCCAAATGTTAAGTTGATATCTTGTATGTTGATTTGAATACATAAAAATTAACTTCCATATTTTATTTCCATTTGAGATTATCATTATTTTGTTCATTGTTAGGGCTATTAATTTATGTGCATTTTAATTCCCTTAACTGTTTATTTCACTTTCATTGTTTACTCTGGATTTCATGATTATTCTTGCATATATATACACTTTATTTATAAAAGTGTACTGTTGTTTTAAAATCTGTATGCATTTTTACTTTGTCTATTTAAAATTTGCATTGCAACTAAAATATAGTGAAATTAAGTAATATATATAGTTACACATTTAAAACATAGGATTTTTATATGATTCTTACAGGTTATGCCTCTGGAAGGGAAACACAAAAATATTCCTTATGTGACCCACAGATATTTCTCAAATCAGGCCCTCGACAGTCAAAAAATTGGACCATTCTGATTTACTGATCAACAAACCACAATTTCTTGACAACCGTTTGCCTAACTTTAAAATCACAACCTTCTCAAATTCTAAATAATTTTATTACTAATTTCCATATATTGATAAAAAAAACATTCTAAGGTCATGAGTTGTGATTGTTAGAGGAATATAATGCAAAGTTAGAACAGTACACCATGCTATGCTATGAAATGGGTAGTTACAGTACTTTACAATATATCTCAACAGCTGTATTTTTATTTTACATTTTCTAAGCTTTTGTGGCCTTTCGGTAACAGCTTCTGGCAATCCTGTTATACCAAGATGACAGAGCATGAGATTGGAACGACAAGGCTAAGTAGGGAGAGAGCCACCAGTACAAGAAATGTATATGTAAAATAGGACAGAATGATTTGCCAGTTTGCTCATTTCAAAGAATGCATGTTCTAACTTTGTATTTGCTGCTATTAAGAAACGGCCTGATGCTTTTGATTTAGATACAAAGGACAAATTTGTATACCTTTTACATCGGGAGGATGTCCCAAGATGAATATTTTGATGATGAACATGCTCAGAAGAACAGTGATCATCATTGTAACAAACTTTGGCATATCATTAACATATGAGCAAAAGCTCAACATAGTAACTTGCTAATATTTTGGGGGGCTGAATATTTTTAAAAACATCTTAAGGTTGCATAGATGCATCAATCCTTGTTAGTTGCTGTTTGAATACAAGTCTTTAACTGACATGACACGTATGAAAATTATTAAATTTTCTCAAATTTACAATCTCCGTAAATTTATGTAAATTTGAAACAATGTAAGAATTTTCAGAGCCACATCAATTGAAACTTGTATTCAAACAATAACTAGCAAATACATTTTAATTACAAAACACTCCAAAATAAACAATGACATATTTCTGTATTCCTTTAACAGTAAAATAAATACAGAACATTTGCTTTGAGTTTTAGAGGATTTTTTTAAACTAAATGATTAACATTGCAATGTTGCTGTAATTTATTGGATGTACAACGTGAATAATTGGGTTGTGGCCCCTGGAGAGCACATGCAATTTATCTAATCCTGAAGGAGCAGATAATTAATTAATCCCATTACACATCCTGTCAAATACTAATCAGTCTCAGTTTTTTTTTCATTGAAATCTTTGTATCTTTCAAGATTAGAATAGTCAGAAATCTAGATAGTGTAGTGTGTTTTTCCACAAGTCCCAGGCCTGGAGTGACAATGATGTAGCTAAAAAGAATCATTTAGCTCTGTGGGAGACAGCAGCATATTGCATGAGAAAGGAAAGGCAGCGGGAAATGATTTTCATTTCAGGAATAAAAGATTACATCTTTTTGAATTAAAGAGTTCTTTATAAGGTATACTTGTCCTTTAATGGTTTCACAGCGACTCTCACTGAATCTCAATAAAATACAACTCCCTTCAATGTAATATAATCTTGATAAAAAAAACATTAATGGGTTTATCACAAAACTTTGGTAGACCGTCTTAACAATTTATCTGAGATATTATTTATAAAGCCCCATATACAATAGTTAGGATCATCTCTAAATTGTTAAATTCAATGGATAAACAATGTGTTTTACTTACACAGAGCAGCAACAAAAAAAGAACATTTCAGTTTTAGTTTCCAAAGGCTGGGATTACAGCAATGTTTGTATGATTTTAATAGCAGAGTTAGTGACACAAATACTATATTGCTACAGCAGTTATACAGAATGCAGGATACATAAGAGGAATTGCAACTAAAGTTAATGACTTGAACAAATATACAGTTACCAGCAGACAAAAATTCAGCAGCAATTGGCATAATGTTGGGTAAAATTAGAGAGAGGGAGCTATATTCAACATTTGATATATGCAGCCGAAACAAAAAAATATTAAAAAATTGAAATGGAAATTACATGAACACATTGTATGGTTTCTTTTTGAACTCAGGCGTGTGAAAATAAGAATAACATTGTTTTAGTTCTGAATAGTATGCCATGTAAAATTAACATTCTAAATTTGATGAACAAAAGCCATAAGTGTATCGAGGCAAATAATACAATACAAAATACAAAAAATAAGAATATATCTCAGACTTTACTATCACAAGCTCTTTGTTGAATTGCCTCATATTTTCTTCCTAAAGGTAACTGGCACTTAGTTAAAATTACTGTTCTACATCTAGAATTATTGCACTTGAATGAATTGTAAATGTTGAAATTGAAATTCCCATCAATCTTTATACAAAAGTTTGATGTAGCTAGAACTCATTCACACCACTCACTTTATGTGATAATTTTGTTCTCTCAGAACACAGCAATGCATAGAAACAAGAGTGAAGTATGTAATTAACTTGTACCAGCAACACACAAAAAAAAGCATTCTCACTACTTTATTCTAAAGCAGCTATTTAACTTAGTCCATTGCTCAGGTCTCTTAATAGTTTTAGTGACTATAGACCTGTACAAAGATAAAAGATTTGCAAAACATACAGTAATTGTTTTCTGCTTTTATACAGTGCTGATTGTGATAACCTTGGCTGTTTGCTGGATGCCGCTCCAAATCCGCCGTATAATGGCAGCATCAAAACCAAAGGACAAGTGGACAAAGTCATATTTCAGAGCTTACATAATCCTCATGCCCATCTCAGATACATTCTTTTATCTTAGCTCAGTCATCAATCCATTGCTGTACAATCTGTCCTCTAAGCAGTTCAGGTCAGTTTTCATGCAGGTATTGCGCTGTAAGGTGTCTCTAGAGCATGTCAACATGAGGACCCTGAGGAAGCATACTGATAGCTCTCAGAGCAGTACTGCTCGCTCTACACGCCAACTGCTTCACGCTTCACGTAAATACACCCGGCCACCCAAGAGGCTCACAAGTCTCACCAAAAGAGACACAGATTCCGATCAATGTCAGAAGGTCAGTCCAACTGAACCAGACTCTGAGCTGACACAATTAAATCCAGTATCCATGAACTGCTCATGGAAAATTGACTCAGACCTGACATTACAACACATCGCCATTGAACCAAATCGACTGCAACCGAACGCAAATGGACTTAGTGAAACCGCGATATGAAACTTTGGTTAAAAAAAATTATCCAACAAAAACATAGAGAATGTTTTTAAAGTGTTATCAGTGATATAACATTGATATAAAGGTTTTAATAAAACAATGGTGCACTCTGTTAGAAAATGGTATGTTGATGTTCTTGGGTGATGGCAGCAAGAAATTAATACTGTTGCAAGCTAGAAGGTGGAGTGGAAGCAGCAACGCAAGGTAAGAATTTCAACACTCACAACATGAGCAATAATTTTTGTCAAAGTTTGATTCCTGGAGTCCTGTAGCTCAGTGGTTAGAGCACTCGCTTTGCAAGCAAGAGACCTGAGTTCAATTCCAGGCAGGGCGAAACCTTGGGCAAGTTTCCTTACTCCACACAGAGCCTAATAATAATCCCTCCAAAACCAAAAACAATAATAAAATTGGTCATTTTCAATCTACGATTGTTTGTGGGACATTGCTGTGCGCAATTGGCTGCCGCGTTCACCCACAAATATACAGTCAACTCACTTTACAGTGTGTTCTGTGAAACGCTTTGGGACGTCCTCCCAACGTGAAAAGCGCTATATCAAATGCAAGGATTATTATTATTATTATTATTATTCTTTTTCGGTGAGATTATATTAAAAGTGTTACTTTTAATTCAGTGACTTTGAAATACAGACCAATGCATGGATAAGATAACAATAAAAAAGGTGTATTACATTTAAGAAGAAATTATGTATCCAGATGAATCCCAGATTACAACTGCAGTATTTGTGAATCTTTAAAAATAATCGTTGAGCAATGTCCATTGAGTAGGTAAAATCCAATTCTTTATGAGCCAAAGTTCATAGAGCCAAAGGTTATTTTAAGATTATGTGGCAGTGCCCTAGACTGGGCTCCATCCTGAGCTTCAGTATCTTCATTGTCCAGAGTACCTGAGCTGAGGCCTGCCTCAAGTTGTGTTACTGAACATTTCTGCTCAATTATGTGGTGCTTCAGCATTGTGGCAGATGCCATGGTTCGTGGGTTAAATCATGATAAAGAAATTTCACCTCTAGACTTAAATTCTTGATTGCAGCTTAAATTTGAAGATGTTTTTCTGAAGTTCTTTTAAGAACTCTGTTTCTTTCTACTTGAATGGACTCAAAACAATAATTAACTATTGTAAATTGCCCTATAATAAAGACATCTATAGAATATTTTCTTATATTTAATACAATTAAGAAGCTATAATGGTTCTACATTCAAAACACAAATATTAATAAATAGTATAGTCAAACAAGTAGGAGACTGTTTCTTCAGTTAATCACAAGATTGATTTGGATGAAGAGGGCGTTTTGGCCCATCCATTCATATCCAGTGCAATCACCCTACGTCCCCCATTACAGCATCAAGCTGCTTTTTAGGTGAGTCCACTGTCCTGGCCTCTACCACCTCCTGACAACCTGTTCCAGTTGTTGATTACTGTCTGAGCGAAGAGGGTTGTGGGTTCAAGTCTCACATCAGGACCTGGAATCACATAGTTAATCTAAGCTGACACCAATGCAATCCTAGGGGTGTATTGCATTGTCGGAGAAACCATCCTTTGGATGATACATTAAACCGAGATCCCATCTGCCTCTCCCAATGGACGTTAAGATCTCATTGCACTAATCAAAAAGAAAAGGAAGTTTCTCCCAGTGTCCTGGCCAACAAATTCTCCAAATAAAATGGTCATTCACTCCATGGTAATTTGTAGGACATTGCTGTTCACAATTGGCTGCCGCATTTGTCCACAGAATACATAGTCAATCCACTGTACAGTATATCCTGTGAAATGTTTTGAGACATCTTGATGATGACAGTGCTATATCAAATGCAAAGATTATTATTATCTTACTGATATTGTTCCTGAAATTGCCCTTTACAACTCTAAATCTATGCTCTATTGTTCAACCATCTTGTTGCCTATTAAAAATTATCACTTCTTTTTCTTTCTATCTAGCTTTACCTGCAGAAATAACATCACAAACTCAACTATTTGTGGCAACAATCTTTTAGTTATAAGACAATTACCAACTACATGTTAAGTCAATTCTTACAGAAAAACATTCTTGAGATGGCACTTGGCTGATCACTGCAATTCAAATGCAATATGTATTACTGAAATGTAAACATGGTAACTACATTAGCTTTCGCCTTCAAATGTTGTCTATTTCAAAATACTTATCTGATCAAGTGAACTGGATGTTCTGATTCTCTCTGCAACTGTCCCTGGTTAAAAATGCTTTCATGATGTTTGTCATCTCTTTTGTAAGGGATGTGTAATGATTATATTATTCAGTGTTTACCATCTCTCAGAGAGATCTATAAAAGCTAACAATCCTGGAATTCAGGGTATGAACAACTTATTGTTCAGAATTTTTCACACAATCTGACTTGTCCTCCCCCTCGCAGGTATACTGCGATCATCACAGTGCCCATCAAACAGTAAGATAATAATAATAATAATATAACTTCAAAATTCAACAAAATCTTAAGCAAAACAGAGGGTAACACCATGCAGAGACCAGCTGATTGCAGGAGTTCCCTTTCATGTACTTACAAGTTGAACATTCTCAAACTTGGCAGCAAGGCAAACAGAGTCTGTACTATTCTTCCAGTAAATCAGGTACCGCATAATCCTTAAGTTTATTATCTAACAATGCTAAGAATTTGAATTGCAAAATCACTAAATGTTTGATTCATGCTACAACAAATACTAGTTAATCCTGGAACCCAAAGTTACTGAACACCCCAATCACTCAGCAAAGCTGGATACTGTGCAAACGTAGTACTGACCACTCCCCATTGGTGGAATTTGTAATTTTCATTTAGTGCCAGGTCTGATCTGAAATGAAGTAATCAACCCACCTTTGAATCTCCTCTTGTCCACAATTATTACTCTAACCTAAATCAATAAGGAATTACCAGGCCCAAGTGGACCAGTCATGAGTTAAAAAAAACTAACTCCAGCCAACAATTATATACTCAATTAATACAATTCTAAACAAAATGCTACATTTAGCAAATGATGCATAATATCTCCCAGAGTGGTTTAACTATCTGCCCGCTGCTGCTAAGGGATCTTTTTTGCTATGGCTTTATAACGGAAAGTCTCATAAAAACACAGTAAAAAGATTGTTAATTTTAATGATCAGAATAAGATCAGCCAAGGGTGGTTCATTTCATCCAAAGGCCACAGAAGAGTTATCTCATGTGATACTTTCTGCCTGCGAAGAAGTGCCAGAAAAAGATGTCAAAGTTTGGCCTGGTCACTGTAATTATATGATCAGGTCAAACTTTAATGTTCGATCTCCTGATAGGTGAGAAAAACAGCCTTTGGAACTAGTTTTCAGACAATTGTTCCAGATCCAGAATGAAGCTCATTCAGCAGAAGCACAGGCGAACATATTTTTCTTTTTGCACATAAGTAACAAACTAAAGTGGTGCACATGGACAGAAAAAAGTACAAAATTTAAATTAGTGCTTCTAAACAGAGAACAACACATATTGATAAAGTTAAAGGAAAAACAGAGTTTTATTGCTGATAAGATTATGCATATTGGCAGAGGGAACATGAATTGTGTGTATAATGAAGTGGTATCATTTTTAAAGACAATGGAAATTATAATATTCCTTGGTAAAGCAACATTCAACAACAAATTACATTTGTACAGCGCCTTTCACATCAGAAGGACATTTCAAGGCACTGGACAGTCAGGGATCCATACCTGAACTGGTGGTTGGGACCAGGACGGGTAGAGGGCAGGGAGGGTAGAGGTAGAAGGGTGACCGAAGGCACAGTTGAAGAGGAGGGTCTTGAGATGGGTCTTGAAGGAGGGAAGAGAGGGGTCAGGTGGAGGGACTGTGGGATGGAGTTTCAGAGGGTAGCGGCAGAGAGGCTGAAAACCCGCCCGCCAATGGTGGAGCGGGCAACGCGGGGGATATGAAGCAGGCCGGAGCCCGTTGAGTGGGGGGAGTGGACAGGTTGGTCAGGGGTAAGGAGGTCACAGACGTAGGGAGGAGCGAGGCCATGGAGGGCTTTGAAGGTGAGGACCAGGATCTTGAACTGTGTCCTCTGTGTGGTGGGAAGCCACTGGAGCCGGGCAAGGATGGGAGTGATAGGGTCGCTCAGCCTGTGCAGGAGAGGACACGGGCTGCAGAGTTCTGACTGATGGAAAGAGTGGAAAGAGGAGTTGGGGAGGCCAACGAGCAGGGAGTTTGCATATTCGAACCTGGATGTGATGAATGTATGGATGAGGGTCTCGGTGAGAGACAGTGGTGAAGCTGGGCAATGTTGCAGAGGTGGGGAAAGGCGGAGCGGGTCATGGCACAGATGTGGGAGATGAAGGATAATTGAGGGTTGAACAGAAGGCCGAGGTTCCATATTGGCTCCATGAGTTGTAGAGTGAATCCATGAAGGGTGATGTTGTCAGCACCAGAGTTATGGAGGCGCTGACGGGAGTCAATCAGGATGGCCTCAGTCTTGCTGGAGAAAGTTTGCACTCATCCAGGCTTGATGTCCATCAGGCAGTCTGTGAGGACAGCACCGGTCCTGGAGTCGAGGATGGAGACGGAGAGGTAGAGTTAGTTGTCATCTGTCTACATGTGGAAGTTGACCCCATGTCTACGGATGATGTCATCCAGAGGGAGCTTGCAAAGGTTGAAAAGGAGGTGACCAAGGACAGAGCCCTGGGGGACGCCACACGTGATGCTGTGGGGGCTAGAGGAGACAAAGTGGAGATGGAGGGAGAGGTAGTATTTGAACCAGGTAAGGGCAGGTCCATGAAGGTTGAGCTGAGAGGAGAGGCGGTAGAGGAGGATAGAATGGTCGACAGTGTCAAAGGCAGCAGAGAGGTCGAGGAGGTCAAGAAGGCAGAGAGAGCCCTGGTCGCAGATGTCGTTAGTGACTTTGACCAAGGCAGCACAGAAACCCGATTGGAGGGGTTCATAGAGGGAATGGCGGAAGAGGAAAGGGTGGAGGTGGGATGCGACGACTCATTCCAGGGCCTTGAAGAGGAAAGGGAGGTTGGAGATGGGGCGATAGCTGGAGAGTAGTGATGGGTCCAGGGAAGGTTTTTTGAGGATGGGGATGATGACAGCTGTTTTAAGAGGGGTGG